ATACAGAGCGAAATTTGTACTTTGAACTTCGTTTGATATTTCGGTGTTATTTTAGTGTGTGAAAATCAGTATACTAACGAACTTCAGGAGAAACGAGAAGGAAAAACTAAAGAATGAAATTTTTTTATTTCATTTAAACTACCAAAGTTAAACCTGAAATATCACAACATTGTTTTCTAGTTGACGCTCATGCAATCTTTATGTAGCCAAACAAGTCACAACGAGTTTTTACCTTTTGAATCTCGTTATGAATAGAAATATAAGGATATTTGGTAGATCGCGATGAATAATGACAAAGAGACGCTTGGTAAAATCACATCCCGTACGCTACACTGTATCAACTTTTTACCGGCAATGTCTCTTCGTTTAAATTCTATCCGGTGTGTGGTTAGTCGTGATTTTATCCGGCCGCGACAGACCTGTCAAATACCGATGTTTTGATTAGAGGTAATCAGCTTTATGTCGCACGCTCACTCTCGCTAGCTCCACTTCAAATCCCTACTGATGAAGGGTTAATTAGATCCGATGTACGCAAGGTCAATGAACCATGTGCGGTGGAGTAGGATATTTTTTCCCCAGGCCCATTGCTGTTTATGGTCCAACAAACTTCGTCATCACTAGAAAATCTAATGTGGTTTGATGGTTTCCCATTACATCCCAAAAAAACGAATGTTGCACGTACACGCATGCACAATCTGTAACCGGAAGTAGACAAAAGCAAATGACGCTGTACTGTTTCTTTTTGTTGTCAAATTTTCATTACAGAATGAGTTCCGAAGGTCGGAAAGTCAGTATGTACCTGAGGGACCAAAATATCATAGGTAAGTAAAATCAGATAAACCGGATTTGAGCCGGTCAACCGAGACCGTTAGCCAGTTCAGCGCCGCCTAACCATTATCCTCTGTTTTTCTGTTGCATTTCTCGCAGAACTTTCAATACTGTTACTACAGTGGCCTTATTTTGCATCAGATCTGAGCATTCCGAAGTAAGTTCTATTTAGTTCCGGTGGATTTCTCTGTACGCTGGTGTTTATTTCTATGCGTTATCATCAACTGAGTGTTTAAAATGAAGTATATTACGAACCATGACATTCAAAGAAACTTTATATTTTTTCGTGAGCGAAGTATTGTTCGCAATATATCGGACCGTGTATCAATGTTCCGTAGTCCTCTAATGTGGAAGCATACCAAATGAACGGTTATCTTAAGGTCTAAACCTGTAATAGTTCGAGAACGTGGATAGAGTGGTATTTAGTACAACCGGACAGGGCCACAGGGTGAGAATTAGGCCTCAGTAAGGCTAATCAACCGCATGCGTTTTAAAATCTCCCAACCAGGCACCAGTAGTATCAACTAAAAATAAAATGTCTCACTACGACAGTGACTGAAACGGTTCAAGTCAATACTGGGTTGGTCTGGAGCTGGCGCAGCTATTATCCTACCGTAATGTTGTGCTGCCTGAGAAAGGGAACTTGTTTCCTAAAGAAAGAAACACAAACAGCGTGTTACTGATTGCGCTTTATCACACATAATGACAGGCTATTTTCGTTTACTGTCTAGGTTACGATTCTGCGGTGCATTTCATTTTAAAGGTTGCTATTATTATGTAAATGGTAATCTATGGTTAACGTATTAGGTGCCAAAAACGAACCGATTACAAATAATTAGTCGAGATAAGTAAACTTTCTACAGTATAACGTTATATTTATATATGTAATAACAATCGTCAATTCTGGTTTAGTTCTCAGAATTTCAATCATGGGGATTTTATGGATTAATGAAAATTACTATCAATGCAAATGTACTATGCACCAAAGTCCCAAATGTTGGATGACATCATCGCAAATGAATGACCTTTGCCATGATTTTGTCCACATATTAAATTGGCTCTCAATCTTCATTCCGAAATGCGCAATATGGGCAAACAGGCGCTTCGATTATTCCATTAACTAATCATCGCAATTACAATTATGCAGTGAACCACGCCAAACGAGCGTGTAAGCCCTATCTATTGACCGGTCAGATAATCAAACAGTTAGCTGATTAAAATTGGGTTGGGGTGCGGTCATGCTTTGCGTGCCTCCCTGAACTCGGTGTGTGGATTTTAGGCGTACACCGACGACATTACCCTCCTAACACACTTATGAATACCTCCTTGAAAAACTGAAACTGAGCTTGAGACTCTTGAGCCCAGACTATCAATCATAAAATCCTAGATCATCCAGTGGAACATCCAACAGCCATACATTGGGGACGGGTTTCCATTTCTAACTCTTGGCATATGCGTGCATGCACGTTCAGTTATGTACACCACACGGGAACAATATTTCGATACTGTTTATGCTGTTTGACTGAATACGTTCCCAATAGACCAAGGTTACCCAGTTACCTCGCATGATGGTTAAACAAAATTGTGATAGATTGAAAATTGAGTCATCACAAATGTGTCAGTATTTGACTACCTGTTCCATCCACGCATTATGAAGACGAGAGTTGATAAAGAAAGCAAGTTTACCGTAAAACAAGATCCTTGTTAAAGCACAGGTTAAACTGGCTTCAATTATCTTTCCACTCAGGATTATAGCTTCCGTACATTTAACGATTACAACCAGATTTATCATTGGCTACAAACCTGCTCCCACTTCATGACTTCGCAATTGTCCACATTTCTTCTGTTCCTTACAGTTACATTAACTATGGTCCGGTATGGTATTCTCTCGCTCGCTCGATTGTATCCATGTTTCAGACAACAAGTAAGTGGGGGTTGCACGGCTATAAATAACTCTCTCACATCACCCCAAAATCCCTGATTTATGTATACTTGTTTTATTTTGGGAAAACTCTGTGATTATTTCTGGCTATCGATTTATCGAATCATTGGTGCAATGCTGTATAGGATGTGTTTTCCGAAATGTGTGCGTGCGTCGAATTACACCACAACCATCAAAACCAATTGGGAACTAGAGTATGTCAGTTGCATTGCTTTTGAATAACTCATGCCACCAAAGCATAACTTAAAATGAAACGACTGTTTTTTTTTCTAAATGCGGAAATCCTTTAAATGCGTGAAAGCCACACAGATCAAATGGCACATCTGTGCGAACACACTCAGGGCACCTGTAGCACAGTGGAGTGTACAGAGGTGTCCGACAGGATGTCCCTCGGTGTTTGTTCTTGCAGCTGGAGACAAAAAGATGCTTTGAGAACGACGTTGGGTTGGGAAGAAACACAGGCAAATAGGTCATCTGTGGGTCGGAGTTAAAGTTAAACCAGAAACACACGGCAAAATATGTCGTGAACCAAAATAGTTCCGTGGGATACAAGCTCCGGCGATAAAAATTACTGGCACGTTTGCCAAGCCTTATGGTATCACCATTGTCCCTCATTTTTGTACCTAACAGTTTGCAAGTAAAAACAGCAACTGGTGTTTAGGGCTGACATGAATGATTTGATATTATTGTAACAGTTTTCCTAAGACGGACTGAATCATTCATACAATATAGGCACAAAGTTCATTTGTTGCCTAGTGGCTGTATTGTTGCGTTCTACTACTGAAGCCCCGCGGTATCCATTTTCAGCCAAGTTGATATATCTCAATGCCGGATGTAAACTCACGGAGTAAAAGCAATTTTGTTGTGTTCTACACTCTCTTTATTCGTATTTTCCTTGCACTTCACAGTACGGAGAGCATAATCAAAATCGAAATTAATCCTACACTGATACCTTTTTAAATTGCTGAACAAACGTTTGATCAACCAAAAACGAATGTACAATTTGTTTCAATAAACTCAGTGCTATTGGATTTTAGGTGTACTCTAACCTGTAACCATTTCACACGACAATAATGAGCCACTCTCTATTCACAGGAGCTTTCCACGGTGGATTGAGGTTAACTGAACTCCGAATGGCACTGCACAATGATTTGTCTCGTGGGGATGACACACAAGACGTATTACTTCTATATCATGTTAAGGTGAGTCGAGCATCAAACTTGCTTCTCAGTGAGCGGAAAATCTTCATCATAAACCACACGTTACGCAACTATCGGTGATTTTCCTCTTCACAGATGGATTTGCTCACCGCGGATGAAATGAATCTGCTCACGGATTTGTTTGTCACAATGGAGGTAGTCGGTCGGGTTTGCCGTAAATTGGATGAGACAAATAAATTGAATAATGAACCGCGCCTTTCCGGAGTCGACTTGCCGAGTAGTGTGACATTCTATCTGTGGCTTTTTCAAGTAAGTCTAGCTGACTGTTTTCACAAAGTGTAAGCCTAAGCCTGCAATAGCAGTATGACGGTGTGTGTTGTATTGTGTCCGAGGTCATATCTAGCAGTTTTCCATTTTTTCCTTGTCGCAAACAGGAAATGGATATTGTGGAAGCATGCAAGCTTTTTCGGTTGTAGTACCAATGTTACATCTAGGTACATCTAGGTCTTACTCCGCTATTTAATTTGCACTCCTATAGCTGATATATGATAGCTCTAGATCTGAAGCATTCCTATGCCCGAATGGTCCCGAATGTTTGTAAAGACAACATCATTCCAACAATATAGTTGCTTTTTCCGGTAGTTATAGCAAACACGTTGGAAGATGTCAGGTGAAAATAAAAATGATGCCATCGACAAAAAAAGAAATGTGAGCTGAGAATTGGAGAAAATCAAAGCATAACTGTTTGAGCATGATGAAGATCATCAGACCCCTGAACTTCTCAGGTGGAATACAAACGTCGAAATTGCTTGATTAGACCGAATCGCAACGAACCGATTCGCTAGGACTTATCAATGGCACAGTCCATCAGTACAGCCTGTTGCAAGCAGTCGATATCGTCCATTCTATCACAAAATCTCAGTGTTATGACTTAGAAACATTCGAATGAATGAAATGACACCATTCCACTCACCTATGTCCTGGTTGCAGCTTGCTTATTCGCATTTTACCTTATCTGCCTTTGGTTTGCATTAGTCTATTTGTGAAAGATCGATTGATACTCGGGACAGTCAGATCAATTTGGACGAATGTACGGCCGCACGAATTGCCGCCCACATGTCACCCACGTTTCGCGAATTGATGTCCTGTCCAGATGCGGAAGCCAGTCCAAACGATGTGGAACAACCAAACAATCGAATCACTTTTGGTCAGAAATCATTCTACCCTCGAATAAACAGGTCAGCAATATCTGGTTTGGCAAGCTTTTGATGTTACGATACCGGTTGATATACATGACTAATTCGGAGAGTGTTCTCATTAACTATCAGGTGTGATCAGTTTGAAGTTTGAGAATTCCCATATGGATACTTTAAACATTACACTACTTGATAGGCTTTGATGAGAATACATATTGAAAGACTAATGACGGCTTACCTACAGAGTATTTCGGCTATATTTTGGATATATTCTCAGCGGTTTAGCCATCGGATTGGTCGATAAAACTGAACGTTTCAAGTTTGAATAAAACAAGGCAAAACGTGTCCAGAACGATAATTAAAAGCGGGGTAACTGAGGGAAATCAAACTGCAATTCTAGTGGAAGACGGAGTCATTTTGCGTGACATAAAAATTGATGGAACCAGAGGAAAGGTTGTCTCACGATTGACTTTCAATAAACAGCAATAGATTCAAAACATTCCCGTTGAATATGTCTTGAATAGAAGCATAGTGTCCTCTGTTTACATTAGAAACAATCACAATTGAGGTAAAAATAATTTGCTCACTGTGTTGGGCAAAACATCTAAGACATTCCTGTGTGGTTTAAAGTTCATCATTTTCTTACTTGCTGTTCCAATAATCTCTTTCCTCGTCTCTGCCGCGGTTGTCAATTCCGACAAAAGCTGTGCTCAGTTCTGTGCTTCATAGCCCTACACTTATCTGAGTCTTGAGGCTGTGAATATACTACCGTACATCAAATAAAACGATGATCTGCCAAGTGCTGTAAATCTTCACCTCCATCGGTGATATACAATTTTATCTATCGTACTTTGACTCAATGTTACACAAACCAGATTCAAGAAAATCTGGTTTGATCTTTTGTATAACTTTAAGTGTTGAATAGGGCTAAAGGGCGCATATTGCACTTGGTAAACTTGCAATTACAGAAAGGGTTTTGGCTCATTCACCGTCTGTTTAACAGTGGCGTTATCAATGTGAAACGCTTCAAGCGTACAACGCTTAGGTAAAGTTGCACTTCGACCAATATTTTATTGAACTATCTAGTGGATTTTGCATTCATTCAAGAAGATGCGAGGCTGCTAAAGTTTTAATGCGTAGAATAGGAATTTTGAATGCTGGATAGAACTAGTCATAGTACTTCCACAGATTTAAACTCAAGGGGGATATTTACCCTCCCTAGGGACAAATGATTCACTCACTACTCCGCTTGCATTTGGTAGTAAGGGCTAACCTCTCAGAACAGAAATGAAGCGGCCAGTAATCCGACCGTACTGCTTATGGTCGGACGCGCCGAATTAAGAAACGTAAGCGGATTAGAGGAAAAAAATACACATCGTAATCGATGCATGTGTTACTGCTCTTGCTACGCATCGATTATCAAAGCGTTTCTCGGTCAATTCAGCAGGACACTCAAGTGCATCTGAAAACAAGCAAACAAACAAAAATGAGAAACAAGGAAGGAACAGCTTGGAGTCGGATGAATGGAAATTCTTTGATTCTTTATTGTCGAATTCACCCAATCAAATGTATCATTTTGTCAAATTTCACTCAGACAAGAATATCAACAATTTGGACGAGGTGTGTGTGTGTGTGTGCATACTGTTTCCTATTCATTACATTATACATTTAACTGAAAAACCATGATGACCATCCTCGCAGCAAAGGGGTACAACCAATGCTGCATGTGGCTAGTTAAAATAAGAGAAGGCTAATTCTGTCGAAGCACACCGACAGTTCGGTACGTGCAGCTATACATTGTCCTACTGATAGTCTTCGTTGTTTTGAAACACCATTTAATGGGATGTTTTGCATGCAACTCAAATTTAACTTGATAAGTTAACACTACTGGGAAAAACTGTTTTGCTGACTGATTAGAAATCAAACTTAGTTATAATAAAACTCTCTTGTTATATGTGATATTTCTAATTGCCCGTATTCTGGCATTTCCTCACTTCACAAAAATGTTGCCCTTTTATTTAACTGCTATGAGTGAACTGAAAACCTAATCATCCATCTGAAAATAATTTCACTTTGGAGTCTATGGAGTGCGAAACGTCGATGAATCAGTCAATTTTTATTAGAGTGCTTTCCACTGATTGACTTCCGAAGAAGCCTTAGCCCAGATCTAGTTCACAAGGAACTGGTAATCTACGTGCACGAAATAAATGACTAATGTGTATGCAAACCACTTTACATAAAATTTTGAGAAAATTGGTTCCAGAGTATACAATAAACACCTAAAACGTCAAAATGCCAACGTTCTCAAAGCAGTGACTTGAAGGAATCCAGGTGAATAAGCAGTGTACGCGGTGTGTAGATGTAAGTCTTCAGTGAATATCAATCAATGGTCAGTGCAAAGGTTTACTCATTCTCTCCCTCTGAGGAGGAAGATGTGGAACGATTAACAAAACAGTTTACCAAGTCGTGTGTTGCTTACCATTAAATCATATCCCACGGTCAAATAAGTATGGAAAGAGTCAAAACTCAATTTACGAATTCGCATTTAACTCAAAAAATAACTGGTGAGTAGTGATGTCGGACCATTGATACTGGTTGATTGGTTAAAACTGACCATCCTTCTGACTTCAACTTGACGCACATTTCATAGCACTACTAGTCCATCATACACTCAGAAGCTCCAGACTCAAGTTTTGCTCTTATTAGAGCTCATCATCATCTACCTTCCAGTCCGGGATTTGAATCCTGGACCCATTACGTGGAAGCGCGTTTGTTACCACTGTGTCAACCAGCTCATCCCAGGGCTGAACCGAATTGACAACTTATGCTTGTCCATGTGTGTGGCCAAATTGAATCGACTGACTATCTCTGACTGTATGAAACGTGAACAAACAGGAGTTGACAATTTCAAGGTCTGGTGTGAAAAATTTCCAAGATAAAGTGGACTACCCTATGCACATCTCCCCCATTTATATGTTTCCATTCACTCTACGTTTACCGTTTACTCTCATATATTGTTAAATACATTTGGCTCGTGAAAGTCGGTAGTGCAAAAAGTAATTACTCTGGTTCTACAGAACTGTCTGCGCCTGTACTTGTTCGAGTAATTCTCCAACTGTTATACTGTGATTTGTTTTGATTTCCCCAGTATACCTATTTACATGATGCTCAGAACACAACCTGTGGATCAATGTTTTCAATGATTTCATTGTCAACCATTGCATTGAGACAAAGACAAAGCAAATTGGAAAGAAAATATCACAAACAGCTGTGTTCAGAAGACGACAATCCGGAAGTTGAAGGAGTTAACTTTAATCCGTGGCTGACGGAGGACAATATATCGAATGACTGAATCCTGATCATTAGCTTGTTCAAGGGAGTCGAAGTAAAAATACTAATCTAATTTGCCCGCCGTGATCAGATGAGTAATTACCTCAGCACTGACCAGTGTCCATAGCCTCTTAGCACGTGTTGAGAAAATTATTAAAGTGCGCAGGGGATGCTGAAACGTGGGTTCAAATCTCACCGAGGTTACAACAATTAGAACGTAAAAGCATTACACGATTGATGGGTTGAATGTTTTATCTTATCTCTGTCCAAGCCAATAGCGAATTGTTTTCGTTTTTCATTACGTGTGTTGTGTGTTGTGTACATCAACTAATTCATTCAATATTTTTTGCTAGAATACAGAATCATACGGTTGACAAAATGATCACATGACATCGCCGACTTCCGCCAAGAATTGTCATATTGACCAAGAATTATTCAGAACAGAAACCGCTTAAGTTCATAGTGCCTTCAAAGACGCGGACGCAAGTATGGTGCCAGGATTTTCTTCATTTTCTCCTCAGAGAGAGAATGCCTCGTCTTTTTTGCTCTGTCATACGAAACATATTTCTCACACACGTGCAAAAGGTATATAAATACAAGCATATATGACAAGCGAATTTTCCTTCGATCTGTATATTAACTTTTACTTTATTTCAAATTATGTAAATTATTATACGTATATATCTATGAATATAAGAAAGTTCAGAACAAACGATATTCTTTTCGGGGAAACCAAGTGTTTTTTGGACGACAAAAGTAAACAAAGCGAACTTCCCATTGGGGTAAAATCGATATGGTTAATACCAAACGAGTCTAAATCATACCTTTGGTAGCTATCCAAATATGTAATAAAATCGTTGCATGGGTACGTTCATGAGCGCTTTAATCGAAAATGTATAAACGTATATACGCACACGTATATACACCCATATATTTATACATGTATATATATATACATATAGGCTATGGGAACACCGATTTCTACAAGGAGTGGCTAGCAGCTCTCCATCAATTGTGAATGATTCAGCTAGTAGCATTCTTTATTGATTATCACGCGCACAATAGAATTGACCCGATCGGAGAAAACACTCGTGATCAA